GGCAGTGGGGAAAGTGCGGCTCAGCCTCTTAGAATGCCCCAGCGAGCTTGGCCCGGAACCTGACCCAGCGCCGAGGGCGCTCCCTCTCGCCGAGGCCCAATCCGGCTGCAGAGGGCCGGGCCCAAGACTGGGCCAAGAGGAAGAGGGGACCCTGGAGTGGCCTGCGGCTCATTTCCCACTGCCAACCTCACCACGCTGCGCTTACAGGTAGATAAAGGGTAGAGAACTAGCGGAGCAGGAGCCCTTCGCCCACCTGCACCCCCCTCCCCGCTCCATCAATCAACCAATTAATAAACGTTCTGAACAGATGGGGGAGCCTGGTCATCACTTCCGCCTTCTGTATTTCTCCTGGAATCTCTCCTGCTGGGAAAGTCCCGCTCTAAGACTGGAGGCTTCGGTTCTGGTACGTGGTTCTGCCACAGACTGGAGGGGCTTGGGCTCAGCCAGCCTCGTTTTCTCTGCTGCGATGTGGGGGGAGGCGCTCCCCCTGGTTGCAAGAGTCCAGAGAGAGTCCGCTGCTGCCCACGTTCAAGATGAGATGGCTTTCACTGGAGGAAACTGGCAGTTCCTGCCTAATTTAGCCTAAGTCAACCTCATGCATTCAAATCCAGAGATTTGCCTTTTTGATCATTTGGGCTGAGCCCCTAGTTTGCAGGGTGAAGACTGCGATGAAGTATCGTCCAAGGTGGGGGCGGGGAGGGATGCGCTCATTCGCGGATCTTGCCACTGCACTAAGCGCAAGAGCACCGAGTTGAAACAGCGTGGGAGCTGGGCCCTATCTACCAGCCACCTGGGCCATCATGATTCCGTGGCCGGGTGGTGGTGGGGTGGGCTGGGGCTCCTTCGAGTTTTCAGATAATGCAGTCTGTGATCACAGTCCGTACATGGAACCCTTCAAAATCCCGCATCCTTAGATCGACTTCTATATGCTTTTAACACATTTCCCCCCCTCCTTTGAAAATGTCTGGACACTTGTGGGTGAGAGTCTGTCTTTGTATGTTTCCTTATTTGGGATGGCTTTCTTGATGGTTGTGACGACAAAGGACCAATTGAATTGCTTTAAGCCCTGTCGTTGGGATGGTACATCCCAGCCATCACCAGCCTGCCTGCCCCCATTTAATGCCCATGACTCTTCTAGGAGACCAGGGAAGTCTATTTCCATACACACATACATACCCCACTAGGACACAGCTCAGAAGTTCCAAGGAGGTGCTTAGTTTTCATGCACCAACTACTGATGCCAGAGGTGAAGAAATAGAGGGCTTTTACTAACTCTGCGGTCTGACATCGATCAAACAAGCAGCATGGGTAGGTATGCGTGATCAGAATGTGAAAGTTGAAACGATAAAGAAGAATCTCAAACCAAGCCAACTGCCATCGAGTAGATGTCTACGCACAGAGCCCCATAGGACAGAGTGGAACCGCTCCCTTGGGTTTCTGAGGCGGTAAATCTTTATGGGGAGCAGACTGGCTCCTCTTTCTCCCCAGAAACCGTTGACTTTGCAGGAAAATATGGCCTTGGTGATAGAAATGACATCAGAGATCACTTGACAGAACTTTGCAAGACCAAGGACTTATTCATTGCAAACACCTTTTCCCGACAACCTAAATGGTAACGACACAGGTGGATCTCCCAGGATGGAATCCACAGGAATCAAATCAGACACATCCGTGGAAGACATGATGAAGGAGCTCAAGATCAGCTGTCAGAACAAGGCCGGGGGAAACCGGGACAGACCATGAATTGCTCATAACAAATTCCACGTGAAAATGAACAACATGCAAACAAGTCTACGAGAGCCAAAGGACCATCTAGTAAGAGTTAATGCACGGAACACTAATGAGCGAAGACTTGGGGGATGGCATTCTGCATTAAGAAAAGGTCGTTAAAAAGACAGGAAAGACTCAGATGGGTATCAGAAAAGACTCTGAAACTTGCTCTTGAATATAGAGTAGGTCAAGTCATCAGAAGAGATGATGACGCAATAGAAGATTAAAAAGGCATCTTGGGAAGAGCAAAACATCACGATGGGCAAAGACCTGGCATTAGGAAAACCCAAGGGGCAGACCAGTCAGCATTTCTCAAGCTAAACGAACCGAAGAAAAATTCCAGCCTCAAGCTACAGCACTGAAGGGCAAAATACCGAACGACGTCAAAAGCGTTACAAGAAGAGGGAAGAATCACTTCTCGGCCTTTTTTGGCTTAGATCAAGTGTAGTACCAAGTTTAATATCTGATACGTCCTCTATCTGAGGACAAGATATTAAATGGAATCTTGGAATTAGGAGATGGAATAGGAGCTTGCTCCGTTCACTCCACACATCGACCTGGTATTGCAGTACCTCCAGGAACGGTGCACTAAAATAAAAAAAAAGAAGAAGAAGAAGATACCGTACCAAAAAGAATTAGCCAAGGTTCAACCATTTCAAGAATCAGCAAATAGCATGCACTCAAGAACTGAGAACTGAAGGAAGAAGCCCAAGCTGCACTGGAGGCACTGGTGCAACAAGACTCCAGGAATGGGCAGAATACCAACTGACATGTTTCCCCAAACACATGTCGTGCTGCACGCACATCTTTGCCTATGCCAAGAAGTGTGGAAGACAACTTCCTAGTCCATGGAGTGAAAGAATCCCAAGCTG